ACCCGGGTGTCCTCTAGTCTGACAGTGTCCATTGTCAGGTACCCCAGAGAGAAGGAACAGGACAGGGAATCATCAAATGATCCATCCCCTGCCACCCATTCGCATCTTCTGGCAGAGGCTGGGGACACTGGTCCTGCCCAACCTGCCTAATAGCCATTGATGGACCTAACCCCCATGAATGTATCTAGCTCTTTTTTGAACTCTGTTATATTCTTGGCTGTCACAACATCCTCTAGCAAGGAGTTCCACAGATCAACATCCTCTTGGTAAGAACCTTTACAACATGTGGAGACTTTTATCAGCGCTCTCCCAGTGCCCCCCAGCCTTCTATCAAGAAGGGCCCATGTAGTTCCATACACCTGGACGTACAACAAAACATCCAAGGAGCTGAAAAAGTCTGTTTTGCAACTGGGAGTTAGAGTGGTAACGTCCATGTGTCGGTGCCGAGGGGCCCTCTTCTTGCATTGTGGAAGAAGCCTGCTAGTAAGTCAGATGGCTCAGGACTAGGCACCATTTAGCACCAATTTCCCGTCCGAGACAACACACAGCTCACTTGTTCCCGCAGCTGCTTGGTTTTCATCCCGTAAACAACAGGGTTTAGCATGGGGGGGACGAGCACGTAGAGATCCGCCAGCAGGATATGAATGTGTTTAGGGATGTTCTGACCAAAGCGGTGGCTAAAGACACTGAAAAAGGCTGGGATGTAAAATAAGAGGATGATACAGACGTGGGAGCCACAGGTGCCGAGAGTTTTGCGCTGGGCGTCTTTGGTGGGCAGCTTGAAGACAGCCCTGAGGATCAGCACATAAGAGACAGCAATAAACACAACGTCTAGTACAACGGTTAAAATAGGCACTGCAAAGCCATACCAGATATTTGGGGTTATGTCTGCACAGGCCAGCCTGGCCACTCCGATGTGCTCACAGTAGGAGTGTGGGATGACGTTGCTGGCGCAGAAGGGCAGCCGTTTGAGGAGAAAGACAACAGGGACAATTACACAAAAGCTTCTGACGACAATGGCCGTGGCTATTGTCCTGATCTTCTCATTCACATACCGATCGAACCCCATGGCCACCAGGACACCTGACTCAACGGCAACCCCAAAGTGCACAAAGTACACCTGGGTGAGGCAGGAAGTGAAGGAAATGTCCTTGGGTCCAAACCAGAAGATGACCAGCGTGTTGGGCACTGTGCAGGTGGATAACAGTAAGTCGGCCACCGCCAGCATGGAGAGGAAAATGAACATGGGCTCGTGCAGCCTGCGCTGGGTGGCGATGAGCAGGAGGAGACCACAGTTCCCCAGAACAGCCGCCGTGTACATCAGCGCGAAGGGGATGGAGATCCAGGGGTGCCAGGGCTCCAGGCCCGGGATGCCGACCAGGATGAAGCTGAGGTGACTGAACGTTGTGCTGTTGGGCGCGGCCATGGGGCGCTGAGGGCTCCGCTTGGGCGCCGGGCGCGGCTGGAAACAGAGACAAGGTCAGTGCTTGCTGGGCTCCCGATGCTGCAGTCGTGGCTATTTCACATCGACAGCCCCATTAACAGTCTAGAGCGTAATCCCGCCACCTCCCCCCACCCCGCTCCTGCAGGGCCACAAGGGCTCGAGGGGAAGGGGGATGGGCAGTGCTCTCTGGGCCTGTACTCCGCACGGGGGAATTCCATCCTGAACCAGGCACGTTTGGGGGGCTAATGGAAATAGCCAGAGACTGGGCCCTTGTAATGAGCTTTTGACTGGGCGCGGTCACAGACGAGCCCTCGGTGGGGCAATTAGGGTATGTCTACACTACCCCGCTAGTTCGAACTAGCTGGGGTAATGTAGTCATCCGCAGTTGCAAATGAAGCCCGGGATATGAATTTCCCGGGCTTCATTTGCATGAAGCCGGCCGGTGCCATTTTTAAATGCCGGCTAGTTCGGACCCCGTGCCGCGCGGCTACACGTGGCAT